CTGGTGCTTCCCGCCACCACCTCTCATCCCACACCCAGGGCAGTGTCTCTTGTCTTCGAAGCCCTGATAGCGAAGCTGGGGATAACCCAGAGCTGCTTGACAGCAGAGACTTCCCCTCACCTGCTCTCCTGTTTGGGGTCTCACAGTGAATAGCAGGGCAGGAGCCAGGAAAGCATAGGTAGCTTTCTTCCAGGGTCCTGCTGCATTGCAGGTAGCAGCAAAGAAGCACATATTTTGGGTTGCCTTAGGCATATCTTTCCTTCTGGGCAGGAGAACACCCAGCTCCATGGTAGAATCAGCAATCATAAGGCTCCAGGGTTAGCATCAAGAACCAGAAATAAATAAATGAAAACCATTTCCCTCTAGAAAGATGCACTAGACACTGAAGCTGGTGATTATTTGGGGGGGGGGGGGCTTCAGGGACGTTTCATTATGAACTTGTTGAAAATACCAAATTTATAAACTGTTTTTAAATCAACCTTTCCAAGGCATACGTTATAGTCACCAACTGTTCCCTTTAGTAAGTGTTGACAAGCACCTACATTCCCATCTCACCTCCACAGAGGAGGCTTGGTGCATCTGTGAACCCAGCAGTTCCTTTGGGCTGGCGTCCTTTCCAGTCCCCCCCCACAGCCCCTGGCAGCTACTCATCTGACTTCTGTATTTCTGATTTCTGCCTTTATGTCTCCTCTGCGTTTTCATCCGTGAAAAGGGGAGAGTGGTCACTGGAAAGATGGCTCCATGGTAGAAGCGCATGCTACTGTTACAGAGGACCCAAGTTTAGTTCCCAGATTCCATGTCTGAAATTTCACAACCGCCAGCTCCAGGGGATCCTAATACTTCTCTCCATGGGTACTGTACACACACACACACACACACACACACACACACACACACACACACACACACACACACACACACACACACACACGAAATAAGTCCTAAAAACAAAAGGGCAGAGAACAGACTCTTTGACACCACTTTACAGACTCTTAATTAAAATATTAATTTGGCTCATAAGGTGGAATGATGGTGCTCTTTCTAAAAATGTAGAAAGAATTCCAATACTTTCTTTGACTATGAGTTGGCACCTGGCCTCTCTGAAAAGATCTGGATATATCCTTTAGGACTTCTGCATAATCTGGATTATGGGTCACTCTGGGAGTTTATGCATGTCTAAGTATGATGCTGAACTGTTGGCAGCAGCCTCTCTGTAAGTCTCATGCATCTCCTGTCAGGCTGAGGGAATATAGCTGGCCATTATACAACATATACACCTAAGAGCTCATTTCTGGACTTTCATTTCTTCACGGTCTGTAGCCTTGCTGTACGCAAATACTGCAGCATTTGTTCAGGGCCTTGGACTCCTACCCACATGGCCAACAGGTCACACATGGGGACAATGTTCTCCATCAAGTAGCTCTGCAGCTGGGTGTTGGGGGGGCTCACCCGTCATCCCAGCACTGACAGAAGGATTGCCTTAGTATAAGGCCAGCCTGGGCTACAGAGTCAATCCCTGGCTCAAAATAAACAGAAACATCTGTGACAAGACAGAATTTGTCCATGCAAAAGAAGGATTTCAGACCCTTACTTCATGCCATGAATAAAGATTAGCTCACGAGGTTGGTGAGACGGCTTGAGTCCTGGTGAGACACCTGTGACCTGCTAGGCTGGCCGATCTTATGTCAGCTTGATACACAAACTAGAGTTATCTGGAAGGAGGGAATTGTAATTGAGAAAATGCCTCCATGAGCTCTGGCTGTAAAGCATTTTCTTAATTAGTTACTGATAGGGGAGGGCCCAGCTCATTGTGGGTTGATGGTCCTGGGTTCTGTAAGAGAGCAGGCTGAGCAAACCAAAGGGAGCAAGCCAGTAAGCAGCACCCCTCCGTGGCCCCTGCTTCAGCTCCTGCCTCCAGGATCCTGCCCTGTTTGAGTTTCTGTCCTGACTTCCTTTGATGATGAACAGATATGGAAGGGTAAGCCAAATAAACCCTTTTCTCCCCAACTTACTCTTTGGTCATGGTGTTTCATCACAGCAGTAGTAACCCTAACTAAGACATCCATGTTGCTGCTGGCCTTTGCTCTCTCTCTCTCTCTCTCTCTCTCTCTCTCTCTCTCTCTCTCTCTCTCCCTCCCCCTCCCTCCCCCTCCCCTTTCTTACCTGCCTCTCCTCTTCCTCCTTTCCTGCTCTTCTTTTCAGCCTTATAACTAGATCTGCTCGCTCCCTTCCGTCCAGCTCTGCTCCCCCATAAGTTTAGCAGAAAACATCACACCACAGAATGGAAACACGGATGTGTAGGCCACTTTCCACAGTGTTTTTATGGAAAATGTGTTAAATCGGATTGCTTTAAAAGAACTCAATATGAAAGCAACTTACATGTCTGTCCGAGGCACACTGTGAGCATACATTCACCTTATCTCTTTATTCTATTTATTTGTGTATGTGTACATGGGTGTGAGTGTGTGAGCCGTGGCACACACGTGGTGGTCAGAGGCAAGTTTGTAGGAGTCGGTCTGTCCATCTAGCGTGTGATCCCAGGAATCTCACTCAGGTCATCAGGCTTGGCACTTGCTGAGCATCTCACTGGCCCCGGAGCATGCATTTAAACCTGGAGCACTGGGGCTCATAAGGATCTCAACATTGTCCTTTGTGACTTGCCGTTAAGGTCCTTTCAGCTGGTGGCTTCTCCTGGTTCCTGATTAGCTGACTTTCCACCCTGGACTTGCCTCTTGTTCTGGTTTGTAAAATGGCCACCACATCCCTCAGAGACAAGAAACTAAACGTCACATTTTCAAGAGTTCCCAAGGAGTCAGCTCTGACTTAACCCTGGTGCTGGATAGTGTGTGTCAACTTGACACTACCTAGAGTCATCAGAGAAGAGGGAGCCTTAATTTTGAAAATGCCTCCATGAGATCAGGCAAGTCTATAGGGCATTTTCTCTGCTTTTCTTTTTTTTTACTTTTTTATTTTTTGAGACAGTTTCTCTGTGTAGCCCTGGCTGTCCTGGAACTCACTCTGTTGACCAGGGTGACCTCAAACTCACAGAGATCTGCCTGCCTCTGCCTCCCTGAGTGCTGGAATTAAAGGTGTGTATCACCACTGCCCAGCTGGGCATTTTCTTAAGTGGTTGATGTGGGAGGGTCCAGTCCATTGTGGGTGATGCCATCCCTGGGCTGGTGGTCCTGGGTTCTATAAGAAAACAGACTGAGCAAGCCATGGGGAGCAAGCCAATAAGCAGCACTCCTCCATGGCCTCTGCATCAGCTCCTGTCTCCAGGTTCTTGCTTTTGGTCATGGTGTTTTTCACAACAGTAGAAAATGTCGGGGCCCAGAGTTGGGGTCCAGCCCCAACCTATGGAAGGGTCCCTTGAAGGGGGGAGTGAGGAATTGAGAAATTCTAGTTAAGAAATACAGAAGTAGATGATGAAAAAAAAAAAAGACAGACTGCAGGATAGCTTTGGGAGGGCCTTGGGTCAATACCTGGCAGCCTCAAGTTTATTTCTAATGGGCCTTTTATACACTAGCAAGGGGAGAGGTAAAAGACCTCTCCCTTTCAAGATCAAAGCACAATGTACAACCAAGTATAGACCCTTCAAAACACCTGGTAACCATGCCCCACGGCAAAGCATCTTGTGATTAGGCCTTGAAGTATAAGACACCTGGTAACCATCACTTTGCACCCTATTATGCAGCCTTGGAGAGCAACATAAACTCTGACTCTGACCTTGAGTCAAACCACAAATTGGAATCTTTGTGGGCTCCCACAAGAAAACTGAGATGCCCACCTTTAGTCATGGTGTCCAGGACAGCAATAGGAATGTAGCTTGATTGCTTCCTGCTTACCTTGCCAGGCTGCTTCGTCTTCTAAGCCTGCTTTGTCTTCTAAGCCTGCTTTCATCAACTTAAAACAGGAAGTTCTGGCATCAAGCAAACTTTCAAGCAGATTTGTGTCGTCTTGCTTACTGCAGATGCTGGCTTCTGTGGGAATGCTCAAGGTTTTACCATCATGAGTTTTATTGTATCTCCCTGATACATGCAACGGGCTGCAGCTCTCCATCACCACCTCAGTTTTGGTGGCTGGAACCCACAAGCTGCTCTCAAAGTGGCTTTATTGCTTGCAGTCTGATGTTTCTGCTCAAGGTGGCGCTGTTTCCCCAGCAATAGTGTAATTGTGCATTTTTATTTCTGTGGGGTCTGCACTCAGCACCTAGTCACTAGGCCTACCTTTAGAACAACAGTCTCTGCCTTCTGTTATCCCCAAGCTGTCTGCTCTTGAGAAGTCAAAGTAGCGCTGTGGAAATGCACGCTTACCCCCAAGCCTCTATTTCCGTGGGAGAAGCAAGTCAGAGCAACCTAGATTACCCAGCTTTGTTCTGTTCTGTGAGGCTGGGATGGAACTGTGGCCCCTGCATGCCAGGCAAATGACCTGCCACTCGGCTGCACCCCAGCTCTCAGACACTTCTTTGAACAGTTTTTTTATGTTCATTTTGTTTTTGAGACAGGGTCTCATGTGTTCTAGTCTAGCCTTAGACTTATTATGTATGTAGCCAAGAATGACATTGGACTCCTGATCCTCCTGCATCTACCTCCTCTATGCTAGGTTCTTAGGTGTGCACCACCAAGCCTAGTTTATACTATGCGGGTAATGGAACCCGAGGCCTTGTGCATGCTGGCCAAGGATTCTACCAACTGAGATACAGCACAGCCCTGAGACATGCTTCAGATCTCCCACCTTGCCTGTTTTATATTTTTAAGTAAATTTGATTTTAGGCCTCAAATATTTAAAGATCATGTATATCTTGGAATAAAGAACCTAATATATTTCTCCCTCAAACCTATTACAGTGCGGTGGGTGGGGGTTGCTTACAGTCACAGAATTGCTTGTGTCAGGACCCCTAATAACCATTCCCTCCTCCTTGTCACCCACCAGACATGCATCTTTATAGATGTGTTCATCCCTTGCCTAATGAGTAATTGTTCTGTTCTGTTTGTTTTTAGATCCGGGGATTTTCTGTCACGGTTCGATAATGTCCTTCCTGTCAGCCTGGCATTTGACAAATGTACAGCCTGTTCACCCAAAGTAAGTCATTTTGCCTCTGAGCAATTAACCTCAACCTAACCCGTCAGGGCCAGTGGGGTGTTTTTTTTTTTTGTTGTTTTGTTTTGTATTTTGTTTGTTTGGAGTGTGTGTGTGTGTGTGTGTGTGTGTGTGTAGAAGAACGGGAGCCTGGAGGGCTTGGTCCTGCTGTTGTTGATCTGCATTCATCTTCTGAGTACTCCAGCCTTGGAAACCTCAGGTTCTAGAAGGCAGAGAGAGCCTGCGCTGGATGCTGGGTCTATGCCTGCATTGAAGTACTTTCAACGTGAAAGGAACCCTCTCCTGAAGTTCTGTTCCTCTCCCGAGGGTTTCCTTCCTTGAGCCTACTGAGCAGAGGACTTTTTAAGCTTTCCCCAGAAGGTGGGGGTTTCGGGCAGTCCCGGTTGTGAGTGTTTTGGAGATGTTCCTAATGACAAAGGAAAAGCAAGCAGAGATGAGGGGCCTGGATCGGGAGGCTGGAACAGGCCCCTGCCTCTTTGATCTTTGTAGCAGCTCTAAAAATAGAGCAGGGCTGTTGTCCATCGTAATGGTAACCGGCTGATGCATCTCAGAGCTCCATGGTATCTCAGTTTTTTAATAGGCTCTGAGTTATTCTCGCATGTGTACTGTACGTGACAGCTGATTCCTTTTTGGATGTCCCTTTAAGTCCATGCATTCCTAATGCAGTTAATACAGCTCCTCATGTTGTGGTGACCCCCAACCATAAGATTATTTTTGTTGCTACTTCATAACTATAATTTTGCTACTGTTGTGAATATCTGATGTAGGGTATCTGATCTGCAACCTCTGTGAAAGGTCACTTCGTTCCAGGGGTTGCGACCCACAGGTTGAGAACCACTGCTTTAAGCCTTCAATCTGGCCCTTTTGGACTCCTACTTGGGGTGTTATGCAGAGTAGCTTATGGGGGTCACTCATCCCAAGCTCACATTTCTCAGTTAAAGATCTGGGATTTCCCAGCTGTGCCTCAGTGGGCGGTGCTAAGGAAATTGAATTCTAGGAAAAGTGTACTTGGAGTTGAAAAACTTCTGTTGAAAACTGCACACAGCCGAGTCTTCTGAGAAGCCAAGCCCTGACCTGTTTGTCTAACAGGAATCTGGGATCGATGAGCCACAGTGATGAATTTGGTTAAATCTAAGCACTCCCAAGTGAAGACTGGCTTGTTTTCCTTTCTGCTCTGAGAGTAAACTAAGCCTGCTTTATTGTTGGGCATCTCAAGTGCCCGGTTGAGATTTAAAGCTTATAATTTGTGGGTAAATGACCTCTAAGCTCATTCCTCTTGTTGTGTCTCAAAGTATCCTGTGTCCTCTTTGGTGGGACCCCGAGTGTGGCGATGTGCACATCTATCTGCAGAGACATGGGTTTCGGGATGGTGTACTCCTTAGTAGAAATGACTTTCTGTCTGTCAGTCCATCCGTCTTTGCTTTGTACAACTGAACTAATTGGTCTCGAAATAACTTGGCAGTATTATTTTCAAACTGAAACCCTTTGGTGTCAGAAGCTTCCTGCAGCTTTCTGCAGGTCTAGCTCATCGATGAAATGAAGATAATTGGGTTCTAGGGAGAAATGTGAGCACTCCCTCTCTTGTTCTGTTTCTAATTAAACTGGCCCAGAAGATACTGCCTATAACACACCCCAAACATACCTCAGACTGCCTGCCCCTCCTTATTCTTTAGGAGAGAATGGCCTTTTTGTTTTACGCCCTCGCTCCTTGTAAGCATCAGATTAAACACAGGTATGGTGTCTTCGTTACCAGCGTTGTTTCCTGTCGGTGGCCGTTCAGAGAGTCCTGCATTACACAAACTTGCCAGGCGAGTTAATACAAACTGACGTGGATTTTCACAGCTGCGCTGTTCCCATAGCGATCACTTTTCATGTGGTCTGGAGATTGGGTTTCCTTTGTGCTGAGAAGGCTGCACCTCCTTCCAGGAGAAGGCCCTCGTTGACCTTCTTGGCCTCCTTCCCTGTCCTTCACCATCATCTGCAGACCAAGCGTTGATACTTGGAGATGACAATTCCAATTATGCCTTGTTGCTATATGAGAATGTTTTCTTAACGCTTACTCAGCACGATGTTTTTATCCTGAGTCATGTCTGAATTGCTGCTGTTTGGATCGAAATTCTTTGGAGCTAAAAATGAGTTCTAGAAATTTCTCCTTTGATATTTGTGAAGTCATTTTTTTCTTCATTCTCAAGAATTTCATACATGTATGCAATGACACATGGTCGTATCTTCCTCTATTTCCCCTCTTTAACTCCCCTCAAATAGTCCCCCAATACAGCCCCCTCCCAACTTCATGCCCTCCCTTTAATAACGTCAGTCCTGTTAGCACTTTCCATGTGTGCGTGGGTGTGGAGCCCTCCATCCTCTGGAGCCTGGGAAACTATCAGTGGCCACACATTCAAAAACGAATGACTCTTCCTCTCCAGCGGCTATCAACCCACTGTAGCTCCCCAGTAAGGAATTGGGGGCTGGAGCCCAGCTTGCCCATCTGTACTGGAATTTTGGTTAGATTTGTGCCCCTCAGGACTCTTGCAGGTAACCATAGCTTCTCTGGGTTCATGAGGGTGATCACCGTGCCAAGTCCAGAACTTCAAATTCCGTGGCTCTCCTCACGCTTCAGCTCTTACATCCTTTCTGCGTCCTCTCCTGTGGTCTTCCCAGCCATGGTGGTGGGGCAGTGGCGATATTTAGAAGGATGTCCCACTGAGCACTGAGCCTCTGGCTCTTGTTCCCTTGAGGTGATGTTTTCCTTCAGCGGTTTCCCCAAGAAGAAAGGCTTTAACCCCTACTCTTGTCTGGACTTAGCTTCAAATACAGCCGCGGTGGTGGGGGGGGGGGGGTAGGTGGAACAGGATGCTGTCTGTGGGTAGTAAAACCTCCTGTTTAACGGGATACTGACACTGTCGCTGTCATCGTGTGGCCAGAGTTGAAGAAAGACATGGGCCTCTGCCCCTGTGCCTAGGAAGGTGGCATCCTTGTCCCTCTCAGCACGTCCACGCCTGTTTGACCTCAGCTTGGGACAGAGCTGCGTGAATTGTTCCATTCACATATTTGCAGGGAGGGTGTGAGTGCTGAGGGGTTGTTTTCTTGTTGTCATTTTAATTTCTGTTTCATTGTCTCACAGAACTTCCTTAAATGGTGGCATCTACCGCCAGAACTTAGAGGCCTTTTTGACACGTGTACAAGCTGCTTTTCCGTTCTAGAGTGTTAGTGAACGTCTGTCAGGCCAACAAGTATGATTGTGAACCGGGAATCCTGAAAAGCTATCCCAGAATGCATTGAGGCAATTTATTAGCAGCAGTGTGTCTCTTAATTTCTTTCTCTCCTTTATTTCAGTGACTTTGAATGTTGGTACAGTTTTTAAAAGATGTATTATTTTATATGTGTGGGGTGGCAGAGTGGAGAGCCTGCGGAGGCCGGAAGTATCAGATCCCCTGGAACTGCAGTTACAGGTAGTTGTGAGCAGCCTGGTGTGTGCTGGGAACTGAACTCCGCTCCTGCAAAAGCAGTCAGTGCTCTTAACCACTGAGCATCCCTAGTCCTTCTGAAACACTTTCACACTCACAGAAAGTGGGGCAGGAGAGATGGCTCAGTGGTTAAGAATGTTGGCTGCTCTTACAGAGGACCTGGGTTCAATTCCCAGCACTCACATGGTGGCTCCCAACAATCCATAAGTCCAATTCTAGAGAATCCAACTCCTCCTTCTGGCTTCTCTGGCACCAGACATGGTGCACATACATTCAAGAAAAATACTCGTATACATAAAGTAAGTACATCTTTTAAAAAGAAAGGACAAACGGACTTACAGAAAACTGCAGAGTCAGCTCCTGTTTCCACCATCATCATCCTCTCTGCTGCCCCTCTTCCTTAGCTCTGCCCCTTCTCGTTTCTTTCTCAAATTTTCCAGAGTCAACAGGGAATTGTTCCTTCTCAACCAAACATCTCCCGGTGAATTTCCCAAGAACAAAGACCTTCCCTCACCAACATAGCACACAGGAAGTGGAGACTGCTGAGTGTTAGCAGTCGCTGTACCTGAGCCACAGGCTCTATTTCAGACAGGGTCGTCTATCCCTCCCTGTTCTTAATGGAGTTCCCGTCTTCCTCCTCCTCCTCCTCCCGGATGAGGACCCACTCAGGGTCAGACCCGACCTTTATATAGTTGTGACGTTTCTTTTGACCTCCCTCAGCCTGGGAGAGGTCTGTTTACTCTCCTCCTCCTTGGCTCTGCCCTATTGCCATTGTCCATGATGTTTGTAGAATCTCCCTTGGTTCGCATCTCTCTAAGGCTTGTCTCTGAGGAGATTCAGGTTATGAATTTGACAGGAATACCAAAGAAGTAATGTGCCCTATGTCTGGAGGCATGTGACATGTTTTGTTGCCACTGGTGGTGTTAACTTCTTTCTGTGAGGAGTAGTTCCCTTTTCCAACAGGGACAAACCTGGTTCCCCTCATCCTGAATAGATGGACTTAACTGCTCTCATCTAGAATACACAGAAATTACAAAACAGCTAGCCCCTGCTGCTTCAGAATGGTGCTGGGGAGATGACTTGGTCAGTATAGTGCTTGCCATGTGAGCATGGGGGCCTGAGGTGGGATCTTCAGCATCCACACATCCACCTGCGACCACAGTGCTGAGGGAGAGCAGGGCAAGGACAGCTTCAGATGCGATGGAAGACCCTCTCACAAAAGGTGGAATGTGAGAGAGAAAGACAACCCAGTGTTGACCTAGCCACCACATGCATGAACACACTTATGTACAGGTACCCATAGGCCTAGACATCTTCTAGTGTTTCCATAGCAGTATCTTTGTTTCTAGAACCTAGAAGTTGGCCAACAGCTTCTGAGAAACTACAGAATGAGGTGCAGGGCTGTTCCTGGGGTGGGCAGAATTCTTGAGCTTGCTCACCTGAGGTGCAGTGTGTAGGAGTAAGCTTGTTATTGCTGCATGGTTCTGTCACCCACAGCATCTGTGATGTGACAGA